TTGTCCAGTTGCAGACAGCCAGGAGCCACAGAGGGTCATTTCCAGGATACTTAAATCACTCTGTGATTGTATTCATAAAATGAAATTATATTTTAAACAAGTTTTCTGGATTGGGATGCATGTGTGAATGCAAACAGCGACATTTATCACCATGACTTTTTACTGCCACTCTCAGAGTAAAATTGTGGGAACATCGTGTAAATATAGAAGCTAATATTCAGAAAAATCCACAGTGAGCCAATAGGCGGGGGTGATGATATTTTTATCAAGTGAAGGGTACAGTGTGCGACCTTTGTGCACTTAATGAAGCTGCTTCATGACCTTTTCTGTGTGCTGTGATGGGCTCTCCAGTGGTTTACTGATACTGTGAAAGTGTTCAATAACTAGTAGCAGTGATATAAAGGCAAGAATCTGTCACTGGAGACTCTTTTGCTTTGTCCGCCATCTTGAATTCAGCAGCGTCTTTTTACACCATGTCTTGTGAACCTCCCACCTCCAGTCTGAAAAGGAAAACGTCATGCTATGAAGGAAACTTTACATTTTATTTATTTTGATCCGGTTCTATTTTGAGCTCCACTCAGGCCGTGCAACTGAATTTCGTTGTATACACCTGTGCAATGACAATACATCTATTCTTTTCTTTTCTTTTCTATTTTAACCTAAAAGTTTTATAGATAGAAAAAACGTTGAAGCTAATTTAAAAGCAATTTTAAACATACCACAACAGAATGAAAGAAGAGCATGTTAAGATCATCTTGTAAGCTTATAGACAGATGCTATCTGAAGATAGCGGTCGTCAGTGTGATCCTCTGATACTCTAAAATGGTCTCAGCAGTGGCACTGTCTTGATGGCACTGCGCACAATTGAACACATGCAAACACAAACAGATGTCTGTGATTTGGCTAACTACCCTCCCCTTGTCTTTTTCCTGGAGTACCCGAGAGGTCAGGGAAAGGGAATAAACAAGCAGATCAACCCGAGACACGCGAGTTGACCAGATGGGAACCTTTGTTCTCCTCGTTAGTTCATTAGTAAGCTCCAGGGTTTCTGCAGACCACGAGTAGATTCTTGCTCAGGGTAGAATAAAGCGCATCATACTGTTCGTAGTTCATCACTCGCAGATACTGGCAGAGTCTACAAAACTAGGTTTTCTCCAAAGGCTGCTTCACTAACAGCAAATTGGCTGTTATCGATTTTGGCTGCACACTCCTCCGTCTTAATTTATGAGCAGTCGATCATTTCGCTATGATACCTTCTCAGATGTTTCTAGTGAAATAAAAGTGCCAATTAAGACTGGCAATTTGGCCATATGGTGTTGTTATAATGGTAATTAGCATAGTTTTGAGGCATACTAATCCATTAATACAAGATTTAATGCAATGTTTAATTGAGTTCGCATCGAGAATTAAAGCAAAGTTTATGATTAATTCCGATTATAAGCACTTCAGAATCCAAATCCATTTTCTTTGCTTCCCAATGATTTGTGGTATTTTCCAATTCACATTCCTGCCGCACATAACATCTTAATGGAAATCAACAGCATTCATAAACATGTCTGCTCATGTAATGGGAAGTGGAGGGGACTGATATCAGTAGATAAAAAAAAAAAAAAGGACAGAGAATGGAATGGCTCTTCCATACCTCATTTACCAGCAGACCGCTTAGCGAAGCCATTGGCATTTCCGGGGTCAAGAGGGCGAAATGAATGTTCTTCATATCCTATGGTGACTCGTAAAAAACAAACAAAAAAAAACGGTGACACAGGCATGTACACACACACACACACACACACACACACACTAAAACACACTCGCACAGTGTTAAGCAGTCAGTGTGATTTATACCAGAACCTCTCGGGCGATAGTCATGGGCCGTTGACTCTGTCACCGCAGAACAAGAGAGAAATAACTTTATGGATGTGGATATTGAGCAACAGACATTAACACAGAGGGCCAGAATAACAGGAAACCAGCCTTGACCTCTGGGGTGAGGGAGAGAGAGAGAGAGAGATGGTGAAGGAGCATGTGGGGGCGGTGGGGGGGGGGGTCTCTCCAAAGCTGAAGCAGGCTAAAAACAGTGTTAAAGATGTTGTAACACTAATGACACAGCTTCTCTAATGCGAGCCAAATGTCGTATTACTCCCACAGAGAAGACGGAAAAAATATTTATATGCGGTCGAAAAATAAAAGATGTACAATTTTCAAAATGTTCTTTAAAAGGCTGCGTCTGTGACATAATGTCGGTGAGCTTTTGATATTAATTAAAATAGGGTGTAATCATCTGCTCTTTTTAAATCAGCTGTATTTACGATCGGAGAGAGTTACGAACAAATACATGAATCCGGCATTGAATAAGGTGTCCATAATGCCAGGCCTCTTTCATTGTGGGCGCAACAAAAGCAGCAGAAAAAAACGCTGGTTGTGTAACATGTTCTAGCGCCCTCCTTTTTTTTTTTTTTTCCCATCGCATTCATCACTTTCTATCCTTTTTTTATCTCTATCTCTGTCCACCGCTAGCGATGACATTGCCTCGACCAAGGTCTTTGATTAGTCCCGCTTCTAAATAAAGCACATCCTGTTGACCTTCCAAACTTTGTAATTTCCTATTAACCCTTTCCTCTCTTCTGCTGTTTTTTTTCTTTCTTCTTCTCTCGTTTGATTCGTTTCTACAGCACGTCTTTCCCTCTGAGGGATTGTGGCCTGCTGGGTAAACAGACCAGATATATCATAAAAGTCAGTGGACCGGCACGTCATGCAGCATTTGCTTACTAAATTAGTTGTGTCTGGTGTGATATCACTCTTGCTTGCTTATGCTTGAGCACCAGCTGTTTTAGGGGTGATTGAGGTATGCACAGGGATTCTTGGGCATATCTCGCTTATATTCGTCTTACCGCAGATATGCTTATCTTATGTTTAGGTGCAGCATAGAGTGGCTTTGACTGATCACATAGGGTGAAATATATATCATTCAAAAAGATGTACCTGAATACAGATGTGTGTATCCATTACAAACCATCCAAAGCTTTACATTTACATTTGTATCCATAATCTGCCAGGTTATATGGCAGCTATATTAGCCTTTTAAATACAACATGAAGCACTGAATTGAATGAATTTCTCATTTGGATTGCTTTAAACTAGAAGGGCTTGCCTTGGAGTCAATAAAAACCAAGAAATGAACTCACTGACTTTGGTTGAAAGAGTGGTTGGCTAACTGAGGCAGCTTTTAGAGTGAAGAAACATCCAAAAATATTGAGTAAAACCTGATCAGATTATGTTTAAAATATCGTGTAGTTGTTACTTTGTCCTCCTGCTGCTGTGACTCAACAATCGTTTGGACTATGACTTTCAGTTTGCGTCGATTTTGGCCCCATGTGGACAAAACAGCACCTCTTATCTCTTTACTGATTTGTCCTGTACATGTATAGGTCGTGTTTTTTGAGGTAAATCAAATCCCACTTTCCTTTAACAATCAAACATATCACTCATCAAGAATATTTGCTGTGGACAAATTTAAAACAAGGCTCAGAAGTCAGACACCTACCCCCCCACAGCAGCAGTTTCAGGCGGTTATGATAACAATATAGAAATACTCAGTCCTGTGGCAGGTGGTTTTGTTTGCTTTCAAAGCTCATAAATAGACAGTATTCAGTATTCATTTTATGTTGTTACGTAACCTGCTTAAAAAACCTCACAGGAGCTTGAAGTGCTGCTAATTTTAGCAAAAGTAAGCTAGTTAGCTAGCTTGATTTTTTTTTACCAAAACAATCGAATAAGGTTGTGGTATTGGACAAGTCATTAATTTGTATTTGAACTGTGGTCAGTGAGGCCTGCCCCCAAATAACCTTTTAGTGCACCAGTATCTTAACCTTGATTTCATTAGTTAAGTCCCCCCATAGTATATTTTCAAGCTAACGACGCTGCCATATTGTGCAAACACTAAGTTTGCAAAACAGTTGCTAGTCATTAACAAATTTACAGACACAAAATCCTGATGTCAACTCGTATACTTTTTTTTCATGCTTTATAGTATTTTCAATGGGCAGAAGCTCAATAGTGATGGTGGGAAGTTTTAAGGCTTGTCATGGAGTAAATCCATTCCAGAGACTGCGACCACCGTGGCGGTTAGCGGCAAGATTACTAAACCACAAGAGTCACATAATGCCTCAGTCAGACCCCTTTCATCTCTAATCAGCACGAGGTGGGAGATTTGCCAGGAAAGACATCCTTGATTGAGTTGGAAAAGACATCTGACCCTTGAAACTGTATTCCCCGCTGGTCTTCTTCAGGGAAATAGGAAGTTTGCTGCAGAATGTTTTTGTCCCTGCCAACTTCTGACAGGTTCGAGTGAGCCTGTGCACGCGCGGATTCACTCTAATCTCACACAGAAAGTACACACACACACACACACACACACACACACACACACACACACATTGCCCTGGTCAAACACCAAGCATTTACACCCAACCTCATCCATGACCGCACAGCCTTGGCTTGATTAATTCTGCCTCCAGAGACACGGATCCCCAGGTTAAACAGCGGGCTCATAGCGGGGGAGCAGAGCGAGCAGGCGTGATGGATGACTGCAGCTCCGTATCCTGACACGTCTGATAAACGTGAACCCACAGATTCGTTTTTAAACAATGTAGTCCTACCCACGCATTTAACACCCATACTCTGAGACCAGGGGGAAGCTTTCAGAATGACTAATGCCAAATTTAGCTCCTTTCAGACAAGGTATCTATAACACAGCGTGGGTTATCCGTCTCTTTAATAACGGCTTCTGGCCTTCGTACATAAAGGTCTTCATTTATGTGTAAATGATCAGAATGTTTGAGGATTGAGCCATAATCCTGCAGTACCTGGAATTTGACACAGAAGACTAGCTAATACAGAGATTTCACATTAACGTCGGGAAAGGAAGAGAGATTATTTGTGTTGACGCTGCTTAACCATTTCTTCTTGCTTTTTTTTGTCTTTTTTTTTTTTTTTTACAGCCTCGAGTCAGACATGTGTTCCAAAGCAGGTTAAAGACAACCCATGGGTCAATGTGAGAGAGATGCAAATTGGCTGCTGGACCAGCTTCATCACAGAGGACAAGGCAGAGGTCCACATCCTTAATCTGAAATTTACCTCCCAGGTAAGCATGTCAAGGTTATACTAATGAGACGCTGAGTGGGCTGGGGCTAATTATGTAAAATGTGGACAATCTGCATGATGGGAGGAAAATGTGAGATACTTGTAAAAAATGCAATATTGTAAAAAAAGTGTATAAAGGTATGTATATCCAGCAGGCAAAGGAAACTTGTGTCGACCATAGTAACTGAAACAGGAAATAGAAAGATAAAATGCTGTATCATCAACACTGTAGCGGTCCGTCAAGCCGGTACACAGCTTGCTTGTCGTTTAAGTCCAATACCACAGCCTTTCATGGGCATTTTTCTTCTCAGATAAAAGTACAATACATCAAACCCAGACGTACCAAGGAAGCAGTTTGTCAGTACTGTGCACTGCTCTCATTTGTATTCATTTTACGCCTTTCAAATAATAGAATATATCCCTCGTTGTCTGAATTCAGTATGACTTTTTCTTATGCAGTTTGAGGCTCTGAAAGGTGAATGCAATGTGTCACAGCTTTATGTGGGGTCCAGTTTTTGCCTTTATTGGTGAGGACAGCTGAAGAGAGACAGAACATGTTTGGAGGGGAGAGCAGGAGGATGATATGCAGGTCGAGCCAAGGTCGGATTCGAACCAACGGCTCGACAGCTCCGTGTCACACCTTTAAAACTCTGCAAAGCTGACTCTTTAGGACAGATTTTGTAAACAAGCCTAGAATATATATATATTTTTTTACGCTTAAAGATGTTTTTGGTTTCATTTTAAGAAGATACTCAACTCTTGTAAAGACAAGGTGACAAATCAGGAAGTAACGGCACTTAGCGAGACAGTTGAAAATTTGTGCACATAAGGGACGATTCAAATCGGTAACATAAAGAAAAAAGAAATCCTGAGTTCTCTGCATTTGATGGCTTTTGTTAATGGCCCTCACATGTCTTACATCTATAGCTGAATAGAGGCATAAAGACATGGCGAAGATATTGCAGTGGATGATTAACCACCATGTTTCCACAATACCAGGGCGACACACTGCAGTATATTTACCATTAAAGCATTTTTCTTTATCATCCATATAAGATTACCATCAGTCTCTCTCTCTCTCTCTCTCTCTGTCACTCTCTCTCTACTCCTGTAAATGTCTCCACATCTGAGAGAAACAGAGAGAAAGAGATACCAATAGACAACACAAGATCTTAGGCTTATATGTTGAAAACATTTGAACAGGGATTGTAATTTTGCAATCTAGTGGAAGAACCTTATTCAAATCCTTTCAAAATAAAGTGATGTTTGTCATCAAAACAAGATTGCACATGCCCCTTGTTACTTTGTGTAACTACTACGGGCTACTTTATTCTCTAATGTCATGTTGGTTAATATTTCTAGTTCTGTAGCATAACGACTTAGCGTAGTATCAAACAAAAGTTAAATACAAGTGTCCATGTTTTGGAGTGACACCGCTGAGGGAAAATAAGCTGAATACACCTCTACAAGCACTAAAACAACATGGCTGGACCTGGCAGAGTTTCTCTCTGTATATACTGAGGCTAATAGCAAACCTGGAGCAGCTTGGCGGGCAGGTGAGCCGGGAGGTCAATACTGCAGCAGCACTTGTAATATACAGAACAAGTTTTGTAAGAGTAGCTCGCTCACACTTTTGAACTCTCAAGACTTCTTCCCTCCTCTGTGAAACTTCTAAAAGGTCAAAGTTGAGCAAGAAAACCTCACTCTGTTCAGCCAGGTGAATGTGTCATGTGATGAGCTGAGGAGGGAACTCAACACAGATTTTTTAGCAGGCATGAGCAAATTGGTAGATTCAAAAAGACCAGAAAGTAATAAGGTTGTTTTTTTTTTTTTACATATAAAGCTCCTGTGGGGAGTTTTTAACAGGTTATTAAACACAGTGAAATAAATATTGAGGCTTCTTTACAACCTATAAAAGCAAAGGAGACCATCAACTGCAAGATTGACTATTTAACTATCTACTTCATATTATTTTTTAATGCCGGAATCCACTGCCGACGCTGCAGAAACAGCCTGTTTTTCACACATTTAGATTTTCTATTAATTCTACATCTGACTTTTAAAAGACAAACAGATGAAGTTTGTCACAAAACATTAGTTACTCTCATACAGGACAAAATTAGCAATATCATATCATCAAGTTAAACGATACATCAGCGCTCTTTATATTACATTTTTGGTCAGAGCCCGACCGATTAATCGGCCAGCCGATAATACCGGCCAATATTAGCATATCCAGTGACTATCGGTATCGGCTAATTTGATCACAGATATGTGCCGATATTACGAGATTTATTCACCAGTCAAATAGCATTTCATTTTGAGTTTCATTGTATTACACTTGCAGTTCTCACTAGCTGAGTGCGCTATATGGATTACAACAAGCATTATCACTATCCAGAATGTCGAGCGGGATGAACGCACATGCACGGTTCCTTCAGTTGAGTGACCATCTTGTCTTGGTTATACAGTATATCTTTTCCTCAAGTGTTTGATAACTGCATTCGAGGGATCAAAAAAATAAATCTGTATATCTATCTATCTCTAGAGATCAAACATAGATCCAAGAAAGATACCTGCCGATTTATCGTTTTTTCTCTTCCTAATATCGATATTGGTATCGGCCCCTAAAAACCCATATCGGTGGATCCCTAATTTTGGTTAATATTGTTATTTTCAATTTCTAACCCGAAACTCAAAAAACTTCTTCCTACACATGTTTTGGCAACACAAACAGTTCTGTCCAATTTTCTTCAGCTGAATAAATAACTAACCCTTAACAGATGCCAGACATAAAAAAAAATGTTCCACTACAAAGGCTGCTACAGCAACCAAGCTCTGCATGTTTGTCTGTCTATTTAAAGAATTCCCTTTATGCACCCTCACAAACACACAACAAAAATCGCTGCTATGCTCTGTGTGAGGTCATTTTGTTTTATTGCTAAAACTTTGCGCTTCAGAGAACGAGAGCAGAAAGTAGCTCCAGAAAACTTTTAATCTAATGTTGTTATTGCCGTGGCGGGCTCCATTTTTCACTGTCCAACATTGTCGGTCAGCTCACATTAGTCATTTCTTTATCAGTGCGCTGTTTGTTTGCTTCTTCTGTTTGTTCTCACTTAAGAGTTCTTTGTGAAGCTCTTTCTCAGAGCTGCTGTTAAGCAACTGCTGTTTACTCATTGTCTCTTTTTATTTTTCACTCTGTTGGGCATTCTTTCTCGTTTGGTGGTGATCACGAGGAGGGAAGCAGATGTGCTGCGTGCCATCACAGGATGCTGCCAAACAATAGCCACCTGAATCCATCCCTTCAGTTTCTCTTAGGAAAGTTGCCAAGCTGTATAAGTGCCTTAATATCAGGTTAAAAACTTGAAATTTAACTAAGTTTAGTTTTCTAATACACAAAGAAACATGAGCTAATGAACTTCAAAGATACCTGCGTCTTTAAGGGATGTGTTTCTATCATAGACTGTATAAAACATGGACATAGTCTCAGTTGTTTTTTGGAGAGGTGTTATGAAGCAGAACACTGGTGGTCGCCATATTGGAATCACTATCTGCACTCTCCAAGGAGAGCTATTACACTCACTTTCAACTTTAATTACGTCAGTCTGGGACACCTATCGAGTAGCGTTGTGAGATGTGTAGCTCAAAAATCTAATTTATCTTGTACTGTTGTCAATAAAATCCCTAATTTCAGCCTCTGTCTGAAATGGTTGATTGCAGCCGCTGTCTCTTTAAGGCCCCTGTCCCAACATGCCCAGTGTCCTCTGATTGGCCAGCTGTGTTTGCAGTAACAGGGATGTTAGAGTGAGCTTCCAGGTGGCCGTGTCCTTGAAAGAGCTGCTGGGGTGGGCATATCCTACAACTTTGCTCCATGCTTTGCTCTTATACGTCGGCAGAACATGACGTCAGGTTCCGCCAAGTCTCACGATGTCTCTCATTCAGAGTAGCAGGAAACCACGTCCAGGGATTACTCCAACAACTGTGCATCTTGTGTTTAATTTTTGGTTGCTGAGGGTTTAGTATGAACATCATATAATTGTATGTATTTATCTAAATATGGATCAGCATAATAGATCTCCTTTAACTTTCAGTTAAGCTAGTAATAGGAAAAGAGGTAGAATTGAGTCTTGCAATTGGCTCCTTGGCAAACAGCTATAATGTGTCTCACTGTCACGCTGGCCACGCCCCTTATTTATACAAGAATGTATGCATCACTAATATAATCAAAACGGTTAAGTCTTAAAAACCATGCTGTGTGAACGAACACAGAAATGAGCTATTAAGACCAAAACCATTGTATGCACCAGGCTGTAAGCATGTTTTATTTCTGCATTTTAATTTGGTACCTGATTTGGATTCCTCATGTTTTGCAGCCAGCCTCAAGGGGTGTGATGTTGTTTTTATAATGGGTTTTTTTCAAATATGTTTGTGCATGTGCTTGGCTGCTATCTTGGACAAGTCTCCTTTGTAAAAGAGATTTTTAATCTCAGTGGGACTTCTTGGTGAAATAAAAGTTAAAAAATACAGTTCACACACGAGGCACTGCAGGTTTTTTTACATTTCAACTTTGGCCTCACTTTTCAACACCAGAGATTTCAGCTCAGATTCCATACGTAGTTACATATTCCTATAGCTGTATTCCTTATACAACCTTGGGATGGATCATTTGCACATCTTTTTTTTTTCTGGCCAAACCCCATGAACTGCTCTCTTATTCATGCCATTTAATGTCACGTTCTGAATATATCATATTGTTCCTCAATTCCTCTCTCTTCGGTAAAAGTGCCTTTAAAATGATGCTCCCTCATCTTTGTCTCATAAAGATATTTGTCTTCAGACTCATTTTAAACTTGATAATATTATGATTACCCAAGATTTAGGATTAAAATGAGCATGTCCAGTTTGATGGATTTGTCTGCTGGCCTGATTTTTCTTCTTTGATGTGAAACTTAAGAGGCCAGAACGCCTTTCATCAAGATATGTTGTTTCTCAGTGGGAATA